TAATTTCACATTTTACACATTTTATTGTAATTTATACATTTTACACATTTTCTTGTTGAATCTTTAAAACAGTTTTAATTTTTTGGAGATTGGGCTTGAATTTTTGATGTCAGTGTCCGTGTCGTCATCATACCTGCATAAAAAAGCGTATAATTAAGAATAGCCCCCATTGCGTGAGGTCTAGCTTGGAAGTCTGCAAAGTTATATATATATACCCAGATAGCCAAATGTAAGCAGTATATACCAGTAATGTGATGCAATAATAATTTGCATTGCGGCGTGAAACATTTATATTCTTTTTTTTTCAGCGTTTTTGTCTACACTAGTTGCAATAACAGATTGTGTTTGAATGCATTCTGGCATAATGTGTTATTGTAGACTTTGCAAAATATGCTCATTCAGTCTTGGTTATCTGGGTATAAAGTCATTTTTATTTTGTAATTACTCACAATGGGATGGAATTCTCTGGTGTACTGTGGGCAAAATTCTGCCGGTTAGGACCATCGTCATTTTCTTTATTGTTATCATCATAGATAATAGAAAGATCGAGCTGATCCAAAGTGGTGTCATCTGACAGATCATCTTCACTAAAAGAGAGAAGATTCAGTACCAGCCAACATAAACAAAAATGTAAGCAGTTAAATCCATCACTTACTTGATGTTTGTCATGGCATCACCTTCACCATGCATATCAGCAGAAAAGTCAGCTAAAGACCTAGGGAAAAATAGACAAATTTTCAGATANCAGAGAAAGAGAGACAGTCTAAATTAAAAACTTACAAGGAAGCATTCACTAAAATTTTTATTTGCCATAAAATAGTGCACTTACATTGAAGAATCTGAATTGATGGTCATNGCATCACTTTCAGCACCATGCACATCAGCTGGAAAGTTAGCTCGAGACCTAGNGAAAACAAATGCATTTTCAGATATTAGAGACAGTCTTATTTGAAAACGTACAAGGGTGCAGTCACTGAAATTCTCATTTGTCATAGAATAGTACACTTACATTGAAGGGTCTGAATTGCTCTTAGTGTTGGTCGTTGCATTACTTTCACCACCATGCACATCGGCTGGAGAGNTAGCTCGAGACCTAAGAAAAATAAATGCATTTTCAGAGGCAGTCTTATTTAAACACTTATGAGTGTATTCACTGAAATTCTCATTAATCATAGATTATTAATACACTTACGTTAAANGCTTTAAATTGCTTTTCTCACATTTTTGTTGTTTTTGTCCTTTTTGATTGACTGTCTTCTTTACTTCCTTAGATTTAGGTGGCCTATTACCAAGGACGTCGTACATTTGTTTGGCCTTATTTCCAAGAAGTTCAAGTAAACCAAAGTAGCTATGGTGCTTGTCCTATTATTTTCCAGGAATTTTTTGTGAGCTTCTTCATCTTCTTCATCTGAGTTTATTTCAGAAAGTGCATCAGAGCCAGCAGCTTGAGCTTTTTTCTTGGCAACTTTCTCAGCACGTTTTTTTATGTTTACTGTCTCTTCGTTAACAATGTGAAGATTAGCTTTAAGCCATGCCTTGAAGTGCTNTGGAACAAAAACATCCTGCTTGTGAGAAATACATTTTGATATAAAGAAATAACAATAAGAGTACTGCCATCTCAGAACTTACTTTCAAGCACAGTTGCATACTGAGGCTCCTTTGGCATTTTCTTGAGACGGGGATCTTTGGGAATTAAGTTCCCATCTTTGTCTTTCTGCTGTCTTGGTTNCCTCTGCCTTATAAATGGGGCATCAGAGCCAAAAATAGCGAGGAGGACATGATGCGCCCAAACTTCCTTACTATTGGCAGCTTTGGCCTGATCCCAATGATCTCTATTGGCAAACACGTTATATCCAAGCCTGACCTGCAAACAACACTAGAAATAGAAAAGAGAGTTTTTATACTAGATGATACTTNAAAATTATATTGAAACTTACAGTAACTTCTGGTAGCGATTCATCAAGAACATTTCTAACATTTTTAGAAGACCCAACATCTGCAGAAGAATGAAAAGATGACTGAGACGATTTGCTAACACTTTCATCATTAGGCAGTGATGATGAATTCACGGATGTTTTACGTNACTGCCAGCAAAAAGAGGGTCACTACGGTCTTCAGGAGCCTTCTCTTCTTCTACAGCCATATCTTGAAAAACACTATGAATACGATTAATCACTGACATTTCTTTCTGTAAGGCATCCATGGCGGTGTCAGCATCCGATGACATATTAACTTCGCTCTGTAATCCAAGATAGACAGCAGAGGATAGACATGGAGGTAGACATAAAGAAGCAAGGAAAATAAGTCTCAAGGCAAGAAATATTTTACCTCATCATTCTGATTGATTTGAAGGTCAATGAGGTCAGTCATTTCTGAAGATGTACATTCAGAGGTTGGAGAGGCCTGCATTTCAATGCTGACAAGCTGATTAGAATTTGTTGCCATTTAAAGATCACTGGCGTTTGAAGGTGGCTGCTTAGCAGATAAAGGGGCTTTTATTTCAATACTATCGTTTTGTCTTTGTTCCTTTGGCATTTCCTGAAAAACAGATGTCGTATTCTTAATAAAGAGAGCACAAAAACGCCACAGGGTGCTACATGGCAGAAGCTATACAATGCTTACCTGATCATCATGATCTGTTGCTAAGATCGTTTCTTCACATTCGGACGAGGAACAGTTGTCATNGTCGATATCACCACCATCACTAGCAAAATCAGGAGAACAGGGCTCCTTCTGACAAACAAACAGAGGATGACACAACATACGAATATACATAACCAGAGCAAGGGAAACCTAATCTCGACTTGGCCACGAGCTTTTACCATGCTACTTTGATACCAATTGACACGTACAAAAGGCATCGAAAAAAAGAAGAAAGAAGAAAATGAACAGAAAAGTATGAGATTTTCAGCGAAGAACTTACCTTATGACACGAACGTGTAAGTCTACTCCATTCTCGACGTTGAGTACGATCCGGTTTGGGGGCTGAGAGATCGTAGCGGTATTTTTTATATCTAGGCAGCATATTTCCTTGCGAAATCATATGACATCAGGCAAACAAACAGAACTCGAAGTAAAAATGCTGTCGGTCTGAATTTGCGCAGCACACAACAAAGAATATCAACGTAAGCTAAGGTTAAGACACCGCCACTGCCTCCTGTACTGCACGATTCAGGACACTCCAGGATGTGTGATGTGATAATATTTTAGCAGGAAACGTCGCACAGTAACTAAATATTCGATACAGTAACTAAATATTCGACGCTTAACGTAAATTTCCAATTTAAAAAAATATGAATTGCACAAAAATTTAGATAAAATTTACCTTTTATTGCATTACCGGAGTCGGCGATCGATTTGGTCTAATTGTATATTGTGCATGAAATAGACCTGACCTCTCTTTTCTGATAATGCACGTTTTTGCGTGTTGGTCTAAATGCGATACAGTTGAGTGAGCTTATAGGCTGCGTTCGGGGAGCACGCTATCAGCACTATTGCGACATTCTATCTTTGTTTTACATCTAATGAGCAATAAAAATAGAATGATGCAACAGCGCTGATAACGCACTCCCCGAACGCAGCCTTGATAGCACAAAGAAGATACGCACACAGGTACTTCATACTGTGTACGTGTGCGCTCGAGAAACTTTGGACATATCTTTTGCCGCTTACGCGTAACTTTGAGTTAAACGTCGTAAACGACGCCAACTCGCACGAGCGAGAGCGAGACAGAAAGTCATATCTCTGTCTCTTTTTACTACCCGATAGTGCCCGAAGTCTCGAGCAGTGTNGACTCTCTAAAATTAAAAAACATAACGTCGATTAGCAGTGACAACCATAAGTTTACTCTATATAACTTCACTTGTTTTTATTACATCTTGTAATAAGAAACAAACCGACTTACCTCCTAGAGCTAGAATAAAAGCGTAAGTGCTGGAAGGTACGCCCGGTGACTTGTATTTAAATGGTTGATCTCTATTGAAATCATTGAGATTGGAAGGTTTGAAATCTTTCATATGGTTCACCGGCACCACGATCCACTTTTGCTCCCGTTTGCTCAATTTCCAAATTGCAGCGAAGGTTGGAGCCATCGCCGATCAGTGATATCAGATTCCAGCAGTTCGGTAGCATGCGATAGCACCGTGATATCAGATTCCGGCGGTTTGATAACATGCGGTAGCATGGATTGGAGGAGATGCGCACACAGTCTTTATACTGTGTGCATGTGCGCTGGAGACTTCGGGTGCAGAGATGCCAGATTGGAGACTCAGTAAGCATGCAACAGCAAGTGGAGGGGATACGCACACAGGCGACAGCCGTGTCCGTGTGGTTGGCCAACCATTGGCCGAAGCGCCGAGCGCACACGGACACGGCTGTCGCCTGTGTGCGTATCCTCTCCACTTGCTGTGCATGCTTACTGAGTCTCCGATCTGGCACCTCTGTTCGGGTGCTGTCGGACAGTAGAAAAAAACAGAAATATAACTTTCTGTCTCGCTTTTGCTAGTGCAAGTTGGCGTCGTTCACGTTACGACGTTCAACTTAGGCTCATTCTATAATAAGATATTAGTTTAGTCGTAAGCTGTATGTCGTAAGAAATGAACCAATCACAGACAAATTACAGAAGAATAACCGATTGTGATTGGTTCATTTCTTACGACTTACAGCTTACGACTAAACTAATATCTTATTGTAGAATGGGCCTTAAAGTAACGCGTAAGCAGCATAAAAAATGACCAGGGACTCTATTCTTGATATAATTGCGTATACAAAAGTCTACAGTACATGTGACATTAACAGTAGAGTTTCGTATACGAATAGGACCTCAGCTCGCTTCCTAACTTTTTTAAATTGTGTTTACTTTTTTTATATATGTTTAGTTAGGAAATTAGCTGGAGACTTTGGACATATCTTTTGCCGCTTACGCGTAACTTTGAGTTAAACGTCGTAAACGACGCCAACTCGCACGAGCGAGAGCGAGACAGAAAGTCATATCTCTGTCTCTTTTTACTACCCGATAGTGCCCGAAGTCTCGAGCAGTGTTGCTAGATCGGGCCGGCCAGCACCAAGAGCACCGAGGTGGTGGGGGCACGCATACAGCGAGAACCGCCGTCCGTGTGCGTGACGTCAC